GTTCATGACATGCTTTCATGTTTATGAAAGTGTCATGTCAGTTTTATTCAACCCCCTTCAAATAAAGTGTTACCCACTTATGTCCTAATGTCATAAGTGTATTTACTTTTAATACATTAGTAATGTGCCATTTTAATGAACAATGTTGCATATAAGGCATGCTTTTATTGTGTTTACTCTCTGCAGCACAGTTTAGATTTGTGATTCTATGCATAAGAATTTCAGAGATGCCCTGCGTCATGGTAGTATTCCTTAAACACATCATACAGATTAATTCAAACGAGGCTCATCGGAACACATATTCTAATTTATTGAATATGACTGTAAATATTAATATGAAAAGATTATTCACAAGGCGCCAACATTAATTCAATAACCAGTATCTGTACTTACTGTAAAATGTAGTTTAACGTTACCTGGGACATTCGTGGCAGGGGACACTAAGCTCCATGCGCCCCCGACCGTAGCAATCAATGTTACTGGAAATTCACGCTAGCTTCTGACAATTTAATTGTGTTTACTTATTGCAGTCGATTTCGACAAGAAGCTTAGTAAGATTGCATAAAACTTCACTAACCTAAATTAATTTCACACCTAAAAGTCAGATAGCGTTTAGCAACTTAACTTACCTCAATATGTTTTTTTCAGATTCGACTGTGAATTTTTGAAAGCTAGAAGTTCATGCTTTCAAGGGAGGCAAAGGTCACACCAGAATAATTGATTACTTTCAAACTAATGAACAAATCAAAAAAGTGCAATGCGACTTGGATGTAACTTATAACACTACATTTTACAGAAATGTGAAAAAAGTACAGATACTTACTGTAAAATGTAGAGTAAAAATCTAAAGCATCCACAATTAAATCTACTTAAATAAAGTTCAGATACATGAAAAATGTACTTAAGCACAGTCTCACCACTTGGAAGTAGCTGTAGCATAGCATAGCAGAGAGCAGGGGGGAAGAGTGTGAGCAGCATGTACACCAGCTGGTTTACCCCCCTAAGGCTCTTTTCCTGGCTCTAAGTGGTTCTTTCTGACCAAGCAGTGTATTTCTGCAGATAGAACTGAGGATCTCAATTTTCACAGATTAAAATTGAGGTCCAGACCAGCCAGCCTGTCACAATATAGTGACAGTTTTATCAGTCTGTAGTAGGGCTGTTGGAAGCGAATATTTTAGTAATCACGTAATCTATCGATTATTCTTACGAATAATCGAGTAATCTGATTAAAAAAAATGGATAAAATATTGGTAAATCTTGCCTAACAGCAGTGTTACTAAAGGATATCAATATCAGCCCAATTTTTCATATTTGAGCATTCCTAAAAGTTACTTTTTGGTAGTTTAGAAAACTAACCTGTAATAATAATAGCTCGCTTTCTAAGATAACCTGAAGAACAAATGAATCAAATATGCTCATAAAAATGTCCAAAATCCAGCTTTTAGTTTATGTATTCACCTTCAGTGAGTTTAATATATGAACCCTCACCTTGCCCCATACCTGTCAAGGTGTGGGTTTGAGAATACAGGAAATGCTGTTTGGAGTGGGGGGGGGTGCTTGGAGTGAGGGGCAGGTGAGCAAACGAACCTAAGATGGGGATGGAGGGGAGGAAAGAGACCAGGGGACAGACGAACATAAGTGGGGGAAGGATGAACATGTAGACAGGGGGGTTGGGGGGGAGAACAGGACCGGTAGACCAGCGGATGAAAGTAAGAACGTGGGGTGGAGGGGGGTAATACGGGATATTTATGGCACCTTTGTTCGTCACACTCAGAAACTCATCTACCAGCCATGTACGACATGATGCGCTCCGCCACCCGTTTGTTCAGACCGGGATGATATGAAATTTATTGTGCGGTTTGTCCGTAAAGCTACACTTACACTGTAACCATCAACTACTCAGCCGCCTGCTGTGTTCAGTCTATCCACTTACTCCTGCAGCGCTCTTCCTGCCATTCGCTTCGAACCCGCAGCGCCCGGAGGAGAAAGGTTGCCGTACTCCAGGGATTGTGCCATTCATTTTAAGGATGCTTATTGGTCCCCCAAAAACGATGTAAACCCCGGCATTATCAATCAATAAAATTCCCAGGGCTTAACTTGAAAATTGGACATTACGCCGCTAACACTTAGGTTTCGTCAACAACTCACAGGCGGAAGTGAGAGCTCCGCGCAACGCAAATAATGTTCCGGCTGGAACACGGTGCGCTAAATAATGAAATATAAATTAACAAAGGTAAAAAGGTAAATTTTCCTTGAGGAATTTTAATAATTGAGGTACTCAAATCATTCGAGGAATTGTTTCAGCCCTAGTCTGTAGTCGTGTGTGAGAGAGAAAACAATAGTTTTTGTCCTAAATAGCCCCCAATAGTTAAATGTCCATGTACACATTGTGTTGCTCTTCTTACCCCAGTAGTTTTCCCAGGAAGTGTCATGGATCTCCTCTGCAACATCCATTACTTGGTGCACTTCATTCTGATGTCCCTCTTCAGACATCACACAGTGGTCAGACAGAGCTGCTTTGAAGACCTGCTGGAAATCTTTGCCTACCTCCTTACCTCTAGGCAGTTCTTCTGTTCGTGTGATGGGCTTTCTGTTTGGCCTTCTTTTTTTCTGTCGTGACAAAAAAAGAGAAGATGCCTCAAGCACACTTTACACTAACATGATCAGGATTTAATACACTATATTATAAGCCTGGTGGGCCACCATGATTTAAAAAATAAAAATAAAATAAAAAAAAGAAAGCGGACTGCAGGCATCTTTGCTGCTTCGAGCATTTCACTGGCAGAGCAGAATTATTCCTGAAAGATGGGTTTATAGTTGATGCATTGAACAGGTTAAAGAGCCGGCAGCATGCACCAATCACACCACTGGTGCTCTGCACATTGGCTGCCACACATGCTGCTGCTACATCTCTGAAGTTTACTTTGGAGCGTGTCGAGAAAAGTTGAGCTCATCCCACTTCCCCATGCTGGAGATTTTAGTTTAATAATAATAAATAAAGTTATCTTTAAAACTAATTACA